TATTTATAATACCAAATGTTGCTTCATTTGACACATTTACTTTTGTGAAAAACGTGTTTCACTGATCCCCAACAGGAAAGTTCATTCACTGTGGTAATGAGCAAAGATTTATTCTATTTATATTTTTATTAATGTATGTAATATACAGTTATTAACAAATGCTACCAAACAAAGACATTTCTGCATACTTCTTATATTAAGAGCAGTAATTTCAGAACATTTGGGCATTCTGTTAGCAAAACACTATAACACTTCTAGTTCCGTTACATAGACTGAGGAAGCTACATGACAGACCAAACTTGGTGGCTTTTGGCATAACTTACCATTCTGAATATAGCAAGAAAATAAATAAGTAATTAGGTTATATTGGAGCACCATGTTGATACAACTATATTATTAAGAATGTTTCCACACAACAATATTTGTATATTTATGCACTCATTTACCACTTTTATTGACATTTATTGTACTAGGTGATATGTTTTGGACATAATTATTCCATCTTCAGGCCACTGTTATCTTTGAAAACTACTCTGTTGTTATGTCATATGGTAACAGTTATTGTAGGTATATTTAGTTGACCAGTTGGCTGTCTGTTGACAGTGAAATATTAAAAATATGCAAATATGCTGAAGACTGCACTTGGCATGATCTTGTGTCAAAGTTCTATTTGAGGATGAGTATATGTATAGCATTAGATGCATATAATCTGCACTCACATCACTTGCTGTATAGAAGAAGCTACATTTTACTTCAAGATACAACAATAATTAAACTACTACAGCAACAAAATGATTAATACAGTTCTGCACACCTAATATTAAGCACATATCCACCCTCAACATGGAAATACAACTCAAGAACACGTGAAGCAAAGTTTAATTCTTAATTAGATATTATTTGACTACACATACAAAACAATATTAATCACGCAGCATTACCAAAACGTAACATCCACATTGTTACAACTTCATTGACACAAGCGATGTGAAAACAGACTCTACACATCTAATATTATACAGAACAATGACATAAGATCACGCCAAGTGAAGTTCAACACATATTTTTAATATTTCACTTTTAACAAAGACAGCCAACTTGTCAATTAAATGCACCTACAGTCACTGTTACCATAAAACAATGAGTGTTGTTTTAATATGTTAAATTCAATCTTACACACTCTTAATATTCATCGCAACAGAATAATTTGAAAAGATAAACAGTTGCCTGAGGATGGGACTAATTATGCCCAAATATATTGCCTATTAAAATAAATGTCGAGACCCGTGGTAATTGGGTACAGAGTGCATAAAAATACAAATATTGTTGTGTGGCCAGTTACCTAATAAAATATAAAATCAGTAATGTTTCATTTTGTTCAGCCTTTGTTCCCAATATCTCAGATGTCACGGGCAACTTTAGTTGTCATTTAGACAATTTGAAAATGCTGTACATGGGTATTTTATAAGACTGGATATTGCAGCACAGCTGTAAAATGAAGCAACCTTGGAGAAACCATGACAGTCCATCAGTAAATATACTTCACATGTTTTGGCCTTCAGCTACTAAAGTACTTAACAAATGTAATTTAACCTGGGATGCCATTTCTTAATGATAAATTACAATTTGTATTTATGCAACAAGAATTCACTTTTAATGTCATACAGTTCAAAATTATATTATACAGTGTTATTATGTTCTTGAATCGCACAGTACCAAATCATAAAAAAAAATTACACTGTGAAATTACACCATTCTATAAACATACTGGCCAGATAATAAGGTATTATTCTAATTTTCATATTCTATATAGGAACATAATATGTAACACAACTTCCCTTTCCACTTGTACGGCACCATATTTCATTGCAGCACTTGTAAACTCCTCTTCAGATGATATGCATGTAGGTAAACCATACGATATGTTGCATCCAATTCACGTTACGTTCATTAACACACAGAAATAGTTAACGTGTGTTCTAAGAGTTATTTAATTTTACTATCTCTAAATAATGTATAAAGAAACCAAGTTTCTATAATACAGCACATAACATTCAGGCATTGCATTAAGTGTGTTTATTCATTATTGCTCTACAAGAAAAGTATCCCAGCTGTCATCACACTAATTTTAATGCTACAGATGATGTATGACTAAAATGCAGAAATACAGTTAGGTGATCAGAACATTTGTCGCGGTGTAGCCTCACAAAAGCTGCACAACACTCTCTACCCAATAACAAACTATTGTAGCGCAATCTGCAATTCATGACTCATATTGTTATTTCTCTCCCCCAATATTGTCAGGGTGATTGAGTCGAGAAGAATGAGGTGGGCGGGGCATGTAGCACGCATGGATGGGACAAGAGGTGTGCACCGGGTATTGGTTGGGAAGCCTGAGGGGAAGAGACCGCTGGGGAGACCTAGATGTAGATGGGAGGACAATCTTAGGCGAGATTTATGGGAGATAGGAGTTGAAGGCGACTGAATCTTGTTGGGCCAGGACAGGGTCCGGTGGAGGGCTTTGGTTAATTCGATGATGAACCTTCGGGTTTGGTAAGCCACCTAGTTAGTTAGTTATTGTTATTTCTGAGTGATACCACAATGTTACAATGGTCTGATTTTCTAACATTCTGGAGACAATAACACATTATATGTTTGGTGAAGTGATTTTTAAATTAAAATGGAGTGTAAATACATTCAAAACAGAGGAGCAAATTACAACAGTGCATCGTCACACAAAAATGAAAAGTAAGATTCAGAAAAAAACAAGATTTTCTTTAACGTTTTCTGTAATTTGTAACCCACTTGCACCATTATAAGAGAATGCAGAGAAACCTCAATTAAAGCTACTGTCTGTCTGCTTCTGATACTGGCAGTTTGAGGGAGTGTTTTTAATTAGAGTACAATCATACATCATACTAATGCATTTTGAAGCAACCAGTAGAGCACAAAGAGAGCAATAAAGAAATTCTTTTGTAAATTTCCTCTTTTCATTTCTTACCACTAACTGTTATTCACACTAATAATATAGCTAACTAAAGCAGAAGGATGGAAATTAGATGGTTTGAGCACAGTTCTAGGCTATAATAGACAAAAAAACATTATCATTTTTCTTCCATACAATTTAAAAATTGCATGACAAAACATGGGTCTTCAGGGATTAATAAAGTTGGACTTAACCTCTGTTTTCATTGGTGCTTCATGAAATAATTTTCTGATGCTAGTACAAGAGATATTGCTTGAGCATTAGCAGAAGTAGGCAGCTAAAAACGTATCACACTACAGTATGAATTCTGCATTCTTCAAGTTCTATCAAATTACCAACTGATTTTTGATTAATGTATATACAGAAGCTGAGAATTTGTTTTTTCTCAAATGATGAAATAGACTGGGTAGTCTGGCAGTATTACTCAAGGTATTTATGTCTGGTAGTCAAAGGATCTGGCTTTGAGATATTTTAAACCATGATTGTTCTTGGAAATTCTGCAAATTTATGGTGCCAAACTAAGTTACAATATACTAATATATTTACAGATTTGTTGTATAGAAGTTAATAATAATGGTGATTTAAAAATTTACTTTGTAATTAGTATATGAAATTTCTTTTCACAAATTTTCATTATTCTCTGCAAGGGTGTTAAAGTAGTGTTTGGCTATAATAAAATAGCACCGACTTTTCTCTTTTTATAAACTGAGGAATTTAGTTCATGGAACTTGCTGTTAGTATTCAAGCATATAATTAATATGCCTTTGCCACATAATAATATGGTTGAATAATCAATTATTGCACCAATAATCCCACTGACTTACAGCTGTTCCAGTCTTACATTTTGTAAGGGTTACTGTACTAACATACTACAAATGATGTATATAAAATGTTACATTATTTGTCTTGCCACACTTATTTATATTAGCGCAATATCGGAACTGTGAACTGCTTTAATTTCTTATAAATCTAAATAACGAAGGCCAGTGAAATGGAAGGATGCATCATAATAAATTTCTGTTTATACAGTGAAACCTCTATCCATCGTTCCCGGAACTATCGTTTTCCCGGATGCATCGTCCGTTTTGTTCGGTCCCGAATACATCCCATATAAAATAATGTTACATTTTCCCGCTTCTATCGTTCCTCGAACTATCGTTTTATCGCATCGATCCTTAAAAAATCTTAGTCCCAGCACACAATTTTCCCGCAATGATCGTTTCTGAGAAATTAAAATGCTGGGTTTTGAGATAAATTAATACTGAAAGATGCACAATGTTTTTGGAATACACAGTAGCGATAACCTGTTATGTCGCCCAACCAGCACATTCTTTTGGAATGAGGGTCAGCGGTGCAGGGGTGATAGTTGGAGTGAATGGCGGGGCCCATTGTCAGGAATTTTACGATTTTAATTTGGGTGCACTCATATTTCGTTCCAGCGATGCCAGATGGCATGTGCAGTGTGAATTTCTTCACAAATGCTTTTATTATAAGTACAAAGGAAAGGCGAGCGAAACTTTTTCATTCTTCTGGTTCATATCGTGTCTTCTACAGCTACGTTTCGTTGAGTTCGGCAGTAATAGTACTTCCATTTTTCCTGTTATAGTCCGCGAAGGTTGAGGGAGCGGTGAGGAAGAGGGAGAAACGACGAATGCGAGCCCGAACTTTGCCGAGTTTTGCCGAAGCACACGCTGCATTGGCAAAAGTGAAGTCGTTCTTTAATGCACATATTAGTGAACGTGACGAAGAAAGCATTTTGAACGTGGAAAGGGCTCTGTTTGGCCTAAAACGTAAAGTTTCGTTTTTGGTAAAAAGAAGTAACTTTGAAAGAGAAACATTGTTCGTTTTTTTAAAATTTTAATGCTTTCCCGCATCTATCGTTTTCCCGCATTCATCGTTTTTATTTCCCACCCCCGCCAAAAACGATGCATCGAGGTTTCACTGTATTATTAAATTATGACAGGGCTGCTTTTGATGTGTCCACATAGGCTTGAAATGGTGTTTAGGAGACCAGTCTCTTAAAATTCTTTATGAACATTCAGTGTTGCATCAAGAGCATCATAATACAAATAATGTTCTTCCTGTGAAGCCACACATTGCACAACTGAAAGTCATTCTATTATTGAATCTGCATTATAGCATAATATTAGCCTAAGACACTTTCAGAATTATGCTACTGATTAGAATAACAAACATATAACAGTCCTAGTTGCAGAGAATATTGCAGAGCTTTCAGTTCCTCATTAGGTCATAGGTCTCAACCCATCACTTACAGACAATAATAATAAATATTTCATGCCTTGAAATTGTGCAATTCTGTATACAGTTCAACAATTCACCTCTGCAACTGGGGATGTCTTATGATCAATGATAACATGAGCAGTTGTGTCAAATTACTTTCTCATGACTCTACTATCCTGGGCAATATATATCTACGATATACACATCACTACAGCTACTTCCTGACTATCCAACTTTATGAATAATCAGGGTACAAATCATCTGATATATCTATGAAAATACATACATGTACTATTCATGCTTAATCAGGCACTAACACAATATTTTGTTATATACAATAGTAGGCCTATTTTTCTTCAGTACTTCGGTCATTTCATCATGTTAAATTTATCACACGTAACTCACTTAGGCGTAGAAAAGTATCAAATGACAGTGCTTGAGAATGTCATGATAGAACAGATGTAGGTGGGATCGTGAAAGAGTATACAAAGCACAGTTCACATTTTTATAAGTTCCATTACAAGCCAACTTAAAAAAAATTAAACTTCAGATTTTTCCCCTGAATGGATAATATGAATGATAACCAGAAAATGGCTGTCTCCATCACAACTGAATAAGAGCGTGTGTGCATAAAATTAGAAGCACATTGTTCCAGTAGCAATAACAAATTTTGATCTCTAACTTCCAAGTTATGATTTGATGCCAGCTGCCTTGGTTTTTAATATGTTTGCATTTCTTTGTTAAATGAATTGCTACTTATAAAGTCGAGCATTATATTATTTGAAAATTTACAAGCAGTTGTTTTAAGTGTGTTAAACGAAGATTTAACAGTGACTGAAAGCAATAAAAGCAATAAGATCCTCTCAGGTGATCAGCAGCATCAGTTCTAATCAGATGTCCAAATTTTTGGAGATCTTCTCTGTCTCCATGATCAGGGAATGTTGTGAATCATACAGTCTTCTGTCTCCATTCTGATCGCCGAATTTGTATCATTTCCTGACGATGGAGGCAGAGGTCTCCAATAAGTTGGACTTCTGCCCCAAACTGATGCAGCTGACTGACCATTAATATCTTATCATTGTCTTCAGCCTATCGATAATGTTTCCTTAAATTATTTTAACAGATTTTTCACCTGGGTTCTATTTTCTAAATACTACATATCAGTTCTAAAAGTCACTTACCAAGGCAAATTTTGAAAATACTGTTTTTAAAATACCATGGCAACTAACATTACAATTTTAATAAGATTTTTTTTTTTAATTTTCATTGCAGTACACTTGTGTTCTTAGAAGGGACCCAAGTACATTTCAGAAATTCACATTTATCCAGAAGAAGTTTACATAATTTGACTCTGCTTCATTAAGAGTGCACAATTTCTGAAGTCAATTCCCATATACCCAAATGGTAGAAGCAATAAAAATAAAAATTTGCCTTTCATAATCACTGTTTAGATAATAATTATTAGTGAGACCCTGGAGGTGAGACAAACCTAAATGAAACAAAAATGATTCAAACACATGCAGAATTCCCAAAACACACTGTAGAACACTGAGAAACTGTGGCATCATGTTTGAAAATCAGTAAGTCAAACTGATTAATAATATCCATTAGTGCCTCTTCGATATGATTCAATTCTTGATAGAAAGAAAGCTTGGAATTTCCAAACCTTAATCACCCATCGTAGGCTTACATACAAACCAGAAGACACTTCTTATAACATTGTCGTGTTGAATGAAGACCCTGACATAAACCCTGTGAGAAAGTCTTTATCAACTAACGTAACACAAACAAATAACGATCTGCAGACTAAACTAATTAAGCCCATGTTTAAAGGACCAATCTTATTACACAAAATAGTCACTCAAAATAATACCTGACTCACTTCTGAAAATTGCTGTAACATAAATAAAGTATTAACTAATGATAAAATTATTGTACGACGGCTCTACGTTAGAATGGAACCATGTCTGTCGACGATACATACAGAGACAAACACAGTCACATGACTTCAAGTCTTTATCACTTACACACCTTACAATTTGATGCTGACAGGCACATATTACGCATGATTAAATCATGCCCACATTTTCTTTTTGTTTCACTTATACTCACAAGTTGATGCATCTTTGAAAATCACAGTTTACATCATTCATAAATCTGTGCAATTTTCAATGTCAATCAGTTTCGTTAAAATTCCATGGATATAAATGTTTTCTTTTATATCCATTATGAAGAAGGTCACGGTGCCAAGAATGGTTATGGCACATATCAATAATACCAGCTCAATCTAAAACGACTGACAACACTGCAAAGAGAGATAACTTTTGCACACATCCCTGTCTTGCGATAAGGATCGCATAGTTTCAGATATCTGATGGAACACTTATTATCATGTAATGATAGAAGTCTGATGAAATGAAGATACTTCGATACCACCAATGTTTTCCTTTACATCACAATTCATCAAACAGTTGAACATTTTTATTAAAGAAATTCTTGATATAGTTAGAAAACTTCATATCACTGTCACATTACTATGAAGAGAGTTGCATGCCTCGTACAAGATACCTGCCAGTTTTCTTTCTTACGATTGTCAAGCAGCCACATAACAAACTACGAGAGTGAAAATTCTCCAAGTGGATTGAAGTCCTTTTGATGTGAACTATTGGCAGCTCGTCGATAGCCCCAGTAGTGCATGGCTGGCGCACAAGCTCTCTGTATAGCGTGTACTTCTGAATATGTGAGATCCTGACGCCAATGGAATGGAGCGGACTTAGAGTTACGATACGTGCTTGACACACCACCCACATTCACCTTTGTATGTGTGTCCAGGAAAAGTTGAATGTTAGGATGGAAGTCCAGTCCAAAGAATTGGAAAAGATCTTGAACACCTTTGTGTGGTTCTACAGAGAGATCTTCATATCGTACAGCCCTGCAAAAAGTGATGAACTTAACTGAAGAAATCTCACTTGTTGGCTGCAAATTGTAGAGTTAGAGAGAACTGATGTTTGCCAGTCACTAGATGCAAAGTGGTATAAATATCAAAATAAGAAATCTAATTGTTTCCCAATCACCAATGTCAAGGGTATTCTTTCATCTGCAAGTGATGATCATCTCATTTTAAAAATAAATCACATTATTTTCCAGACACAGACAACACTTCTAGGATTCTTGTGTCTATAATTTGACAGAAAGACTTGACAGTCTATGATGGAGTAAAAAAGTTACCAGAGGTGTTTCTTACAATGGTAGTCATAATCCAGCTATCAGAGCTGTGTTAACTCAGACGCTGATGTGGCACAGCATCTTGCAATTGAAGATCATAGGTTTGATTTTATGTAATTTTTAATCACTCAAAACTTCACAGATCATACGTTAGCCATACAAATGCCGAGTTCTTGAAGTGCATGTATATATCTCCCTGATGAAATTTTACATACCTTGGATAAAATTATGTTCTTAATGCAGGGAAATAAGAATTTCTTGTCCTAGAATTTACTATTTTATAGCACTAAAATACAGTTCTCATCTTACATTTTTGCATACTGACATTTTCAGTCATTTAAAAACTGGTTAGAACACAACAGTTTCTAAATATCCTACAATATTAAAATTATTTCTTACTGGCATATACTACATTAATTTTTAATGCTCAAGCAATTCATGCCATACTTGTTCAATTATTAAAAAGACAGAATTAGTTCTTAAGGTTTATGAATTGTAGATATCCAAACAGCCTTTACATATTTCTGAACCAAATTTACTAAGCAATAACACTGTTTAACAGCCAAAATATATCGGAGATGAAACTAACCAATTTTTACTAATCTTGAACTGCTTAACACGAAAATGATATTCATTTTGCATGATTGGTTCGCATTTCGAAGATATTCATACCAAGCTGTTTTGCTCTATTTTCGTAATTTTCAGAATTGTAATAGACTACTTACTTCAGAAACAACCTGTACAAGGGTGGAGAAGGTTTCATTTCTTTCTGCAGATCTAGTCAACATCCCTAAGGGATGATTAATAAATTGGTTCAGTTCTGTTTGGCAAACAAGTGTTTTGTGGAGTGCGGATTTTGTGTTTCACTTCGTCTTAGAATACTTATGTAGTAAACAGCAAAAACGTCGTTGTGAGTACTTAAATGAGAAATTTGTAACACTAAAATAGGTTGCAAAGTGGGTGGCATGGACAGGGCATAGCCACCCCATATTTGCTATCTGACGTGTTCCTCAAATCTATGTGAGTGGCTAAAAGGAAAAATGCAGTCTATGCCCTTCGCTGTGCCCATGATGTGGTGGGAACCGCATAATCATGTAAACGACTGCTACTTCTGTATGATTCCTCCTGTCATCGGCATAAACAATTAAGAAAATACATGTTTTGATCTATCCAAACATCCCCTCAGCCATTCGTCCTATATCCCACAACCATGAACTATCTGTACCTGTCCCTCCTATCTCCTACACACCTGAAGAATTATCACCATCACCGCCATCAGATGACGCCATTCCTAGATCATCGGCATCTCAAGATAAAGAGTTTGTGCCAGAAACTTTACCTTCTACATCTCATAGAGTAACTCAAAGTAAACTGAATGATCTAGTGAGAGATTTAGATTTGCCTAAGTATAAGGCAGAGTTGCTAGGATCGCAACTTAGGCAATAAAATGTACTTGAAAATGTTAAAATATCCTGTTATCGCGTTCGTCAGATTCCTTTACAAAA